TAAAAGAAAGTGTTTTATGTTTGGTCTTGTTCTACATATATACAAAACGAGATATTGTTTGATAAGAAATTTAGGAGTCGTTTGACAAAACTTTTGATAAATATTTTAGCAGATTTTGATAGTTGTCAGTCACTAAGATTATTTCTTATATCACTAAGATTTTACCGTGTTAAAAAAATTGTCGAAAAATTAATACACCGAATATAACATAGAATAAGCTCCAATCCTCCAAATTATAACCATAGTTGTTGGGGACCGATTGGAGGATTTACAGCTGGTTGGTGAAATTGTGTGATAATTAAGAGATTTGACCAAAATTTTAAACGAGTGGTGTTCAAAAGGCAAACGTGGCAGTAGTCACCTAACACTACTTGAGGTTGAGGCTCCTTCACCTAACTAACAATGGGTATAATTGGCTGGGTGAGATGTTGGGGCTGGGTGCTTACGTGAATCGCGAAAGATGAACATTGTTCGACAGCTTCAACCTCACGATAGGATCAATTGTCGTAGTCCCATTTTCTCCACCTCCACCGCTCCATTTTTACATTCCCATCAACTCCATTTCCTCTTAGCAAGAATCTTTAAAAAATTTGGAAGAAATAAACAAAGATAAAATAATTCTCTTCAAACACAACAGTAACGGAGGCTCCCCCACTTGCCAATTGATCTAGTTGAGTGGGTTAGCAGTAGAGATTGGAGTTGGATGGTTGTGTGGATTGGGGAAAATTAATTTTTTTGTCAACTGACAAATATTTGGATAAAAAAGTTGAAGGTCAAGTCGGTGCACACTTGATAAAAAATTGGGACATTCCTTGCATATTTTTAAAAGGTTTGAATCTTCTAATGTAATTTACTCTTTTTAGTTAATAAAAGGTTAAAAAAGCATTTTGTCCATTTAAATTTTGTCAAATTATGGTCTAATGTTGATTTTTGGATGGAAATCATTTAGAATTTCTCTCGTCGCACTAGTTCGAAAAGTTTGGGGACCAACGCTTCTACGATTTAAAAGTTTAGGATAAAATTAGCAAAATTTTGAAATGTATGGAACTGCCGTTCAATTATCCCGAAGGCTCTAAACGTCAATAAAAACAGATCGAGAGCAATCTGCATAAGTTGTCAAACAGTGGTGGCGTCGATATCATAGTAGATGGTGCTAAACTATCAAACAAAATGATTCATTATTACTAGTTGAGCGTTAAACATTAATTGTTATATTTATATTTGGATTAAAATATATAAAAAAAAATCATTGGTAATATCTTTCAAAAAATTTATTACAATATCTTTTGTGTCAAAATCTGAATATATTTATTTAATACATGTATTGTAACTAAACCAAGAAGCACCAACAAGAAAATCCATTTAGTGAATCATCGATCGTAACGTAAAAGCTGGTTTATTAGTATGTTCTATAATCAACTTTCCATCCCAAAAGTGACATTGTTGTTGCTTTGACAAGTCCCTTTTGTCATCATGTTTATTTGAGCTTGAATATTTATTCATAAGCAAATAAGTAAGTTTTGAAATAATATTTTTTTAATTGATCAAAGTTAGAAACAAATTAGTTTAAAGTAAACGTAAAAGCTATTTCCAAACTAAATAATTTTTTTATTCAAAAATAAGGAAAAAATAGCACATTCCAATATAGGCTTTCTCTTATGGTTTTATTAAAGATAACACATTCCAATATTATGGTTTATGTAATTGTCTGACAGACCCAAATTATTTTCTCATTTTCAATTTATACATCCACTCTAACATAGAGACCAATAGCTACCACATGCCGTCTATTGTCGCATTCAGTCAACATTGGCGCATGTATTTAAGAAATTGAAGCCTCAACCTTCGATTCTTTCTCAAATGTTCTCTCTTTTTTTTTTTTAATCAATAATGGAACTAGAACCAGATGGTTTGGTTCTAATTTGATTCCATATCTTAAAAAAATAAAAATAAAAAATCATTTAGTTCCATTATTAAAAAAAATCATTGGGTCATGATTCAGTTCGATTCTCTTGAAACCAGAACCAAATGGAACCATATCTACCCCTAGCGAGATGTATATTTTTTGTCAATATTAATCTCACAACAAGGTTAGTCATCGTCGCTTCCTCATTTCCTTTACCTCCGCAGATTCCATTTTCTAATCCGTGACAACTTCATTTCCTCATAATAAGAACCTTTAAAAAAAATTTAAAAAAAGATAAATTAATTCTCTTCAATTCCACAAGCAACGATGATGGTGGATATTCTCCCACCCACCATGGATGAGGTAGGGTGTGGCGGATCCAAGATTGGAGGCCAACTAAGACGGTCATTGATCATTGATCGTCGGCACGATGTTTATAATAACGAGTTCATTTATTAATATTTAATTAAATAATATTAAAAATTCTTCATTCTAATGTAAATGCGCTAACAGTAGTGGTGGGAGTAGATGCACCACTAGAAGAATTAGGTTGTAACTTTTGTTTCGGTTGAAATAAATCGTTTCGTAATCTGTATGAAAATTAAATGCAACTGAAAAATTAAATGTAAACTAAACTTAACTTTAAAATATCATCCAATTTTCAACATCAATTTATCAGTAATCAATCACATATTAACAAATTCCTCAATTTATCATTTATCACATACATCACATACTTACAAATTCCCCAATTTTCTTAAATAATAAATTATCACAATTCACATAACAAGTCTCCATTCAAATGATCAAGATATATAAAATATCACTTCAACTTCAAGTTCTAAAATTAAGATCATACTATTTAAAAATGTTGAAAATGTGAGAATTCAGATGAAATATCTATGATAATTGATATCGTCTTGAATTTTGTTTCCTTTGCAATTCTTCATGGCCACCTTTAAAAAAAAAAAAGCCCTACTAAAAAAGGGGCCCAAAATCTGGGAAAAAAAAAAAAAGAAAGGGCCCAAATACATTCATCTTCTTCCACCTTTCTTCTTCTGTGCAAGGCTGTACTATGTATGGATTGTAACCGAGCACAATCACCGCATGTAAATTTCGACGAATCCAGCACAGGCGGTTGCGTCCCCTCGCCAGGTGCTGAATCCGCCACTAGTAGGGTGAATTAGGAGGTATGCATTAGGGTTGGTTGGTAGTGTGGATTGCGGAAGATGGTCAACTGATAGATTTCTAGATGAAAATCGTTAGATGTCCTTTCGGTTTACATTTATTAAAGGTTTGAGATCTTCACTACACATTTTTGAAAGGTTTGAGACTTCCTATATAAATTACCTTTTTAAATTAATAAAAGATTAAAAGATCATTTTTCATTTTTTTCAAAATTGGTCAAAAGTTAACTTTTGATCAACTAACAAATTTTTGGACTGAAATCGTTCGCGGGTCCTTTCACCACATCAATTTGAAAGGTTTGGGATCAATGCCGATACGAATACTTGGGCAAAATCTACACATTTTTCAAAGGCTTGGGACCACCACTACAATTATCCCAAAGATTTAAGCGTTAAACGTCAAGAAAAACAGATTCAGTGTAAACATCAAAAGTTGTCAAACAATGAGGATAAGCATGCAATTTATACCCATTGTCCCAAGGTGGCATCTATATCTACGAAAGTGATTAATTCCATACTAGATAATGCTAAACAATAAAAAAAAAATTATATTAATTGAGTGTTAAATATATAAAAAAAAAAGGATTATATTTATATTAATTGTGTTAATATCAATTACTTTATATATATTTGGATCTATATAAAAAAATGATAATACTATCAAAAAAAATTTATAAAATATTTTCCGTCAACGTCTAAATGTATTTATTTAATATATGTATTGTAACTATAACAAGAAACACCTTTAAGAAAATCCATTAAAGTGGAACCATCGATCGTAACGTAAAAACTGGTTTATTTGTATGTTTTATTATCAATTTTTCCATCAGAAATTGGCAATAATTGTTGCTTAGACAAGTCCCTTTGATCAGCATGTTTGTTTATGCTTAAATATTTACTTATAAACAAATAAGTAAGTTTTACAATAAAAAAATTTATTCGTGAAATAAGTTACTTATTTTAAACTAAAAGTAAGAGCTACTTTTAAACTCATAATTATATTATTTTAAAATAAAAAAGTAACATATTCAGACAATCCAAAAGGATCGATTTCTCTTATGGCTTTATTAGAGAGAATATTAAATGATATACGTGTAATTCTACCTAACAAATTAAGATTATAGGTACACCCTATTTTAGGCAAATAGTTTTATTTTTTTCAATAAAAATCTAACATTTATATAATTCATTTAAATGGCGATGTCAAAACTTCAATGCAAGAACTTTGCCTACACCGATATTTGCATGTCGAACTATTTATCTAAAAATTTAAACAATCGGATAAAATCATGTGTATCATTTAATATTTATCACCGAACAAGCCTTTATGGACGATACAAAAGAGTCTAGGGAATATTTTTTTACAGCGAAGCCAAATATATTTTTGAAATTAAAAAAAAGGTACTTGAAAGTCACTTTTATTTAGGCCTTGTTTGTCATCCTCTAAAAAATTAAGGGTGTGTCTGGAAGCACAATTTTGGCCAAAAAAATTGCTTTTTTTCCAACCGTTGGAAATGAAATATAGCAGCCATTGTTGACTCTTTGTCTCACATGTGGGACCCTTATGTGGAAAAAAAGGATCCATATTTGGCTTAAAATCTGCTGAAAAGATGGCCCAGGCATGCTTTAAATTGTTTGCTACAGTATCATTTCTCCACCACACATTCACACAAAAAAATATTTTACACACAAACTAATAAAATTTCCTTACTTTTTAACCGCACATTCTCCAAAAAATATTATTCCATAACTCATTATGCCCAAATAAATTCTATCAAACATGCACTTAGTTCTAACCTTAGCCAACTTGTTCTATATAACAGCAACTTATCAGATAAGGCTTACAATAACTACTTGAGGCCTGAGGGCAATAGGAATCCTATCCAGAAGAGTGATAGAAAAGAACCATGTTGTCATCCTCTTTCATTTGGTACGCACTCATAGTAGTTGCAGTGATTTCTTTCCTTCATGGATCAACAAAGAAGAAGAAGAAATTGCCCCCAGGTCCAAGAGGGGTCCCTATTCTAGGACACCTTCACATGATAGGCAAAAATCCTCACCAAGATTTACATAGGATTGCCCAAAAACATGGTCATATAATTTACATGCAATTTGGGTTTGTCCCAAACATCATAGTATCCTCCCCTCAAGCAGCTGAGCAGTTTCTTAAGACATATGACCTTGTTTTTGCAGGCAGACCACCCCATCAGGCTGCTAAGTATCTGTCATGGGATCAAAGGAACTTGTCGTTTGGGACTTATGGCCCTTATTGGCGCAATATGCGGAAATTATGTACCTTAGAATTGCTTAGTAGCCTCAAAATAAGTTCTTTCCAACCTATGAGAAGGGAGGAGCTTGCCCTTTTGGTCGAATCGCTCAAGCACGCAGCACTTGAACGCGTTTCTGTTGATCTTAGTGCAAAGGTTTCTTCTCTAACAGTAGAAATGAGTTGTAGGATGGTGTTCGGTAAGAAGTATGAGGATAAGGACATTGATGAAAGAGGGTTCAAAGTTGTGATTCAGGAGGGAATGAAATTGGCAGCCATTCCTAATCTTGGGGATTATTTTCCTTTTCTTGGAGTTCTTGATCTTCAAGGATTGACAAAGAAAATGAAGGCGCTTAGCAAAGTTTTCGACGACTTCTTTGAGAAGGTTATTGACGATCATGTTAGAGCTGGGGACCAAGGCCAAACCAAAGATATTGTTGATACCATGATGTCCATTGTGCAATCCGGAGAGACTGAGTTCCAATTTGATCGTCGTCATATCAAAGCCATTATGCTGGTAAAATGTCGTCAAATATTTTATAGTTTTCATTTATCTGCAATTTTTATAGTTATCTAAAAATATATGAATTCAAATGATTCCTTAGGGCCAAATAGAATGTAACGAAAATGATTCATTTAGTCGACCCAGATTTCCTGAGAGTAAGAATTACTTCTCCTTGTCACGGATTGTTGAAGAAACGAATTCAATATTAGTCTCACCATTCATAAATCAAACTGAAAATTAAAGAATATTTTGTTGTCAGCCACTAAACTTTTCATATCTCCATCGCTCAAACTTAGCAATAGTGTAGGATCTAATAAGCTTCAATTGTAGGCACCACAGGATTTTTTGCTGCATTTTTCTTGATAAATACTCAGCGTGTAGTTATGAACACTCATTTCATTCACTGGATAAATTTTTCGTTGCAGGATATGCTTGCGGCTTCAATGGACACTTCAGCATCAACAGTTGAGTGGATACTTTCCGAACTCCTGAAGAATCCACGAGTAATGGAAAAAGTCCAGAAAGAGTTGGAAGAAGTAGTCGGCTTGGACAGGATGGTGGAGGAGTCGGATTTGGAGAGCCTAGAATATTTAGACATGGTCGTGAAGGAAACCTTTAGGCTCCACCCCGTAGCACCACTATTAATTCCTCACTATTCTCTGGAAGATAGCACTGTTGATGGCTACCATATACCAAAAGATGCTCGAATAATTGTTAATACGTTTGCAATTGGTCGCAATCCAAATGCATGGACTGATCCTGACAGGTTCTATCCGGAGAGGTTTGTTGGGAGTAGTATAGACCTCAGGGGACAACATTTCCAGCTTCTGCCATTCGGCTCTGGAAGGAGAGGGTGCCCGGGAATACAACTGGGGCTGATCATGGTTCGACTAATTGTCGCGCAATTAGTGCATTGCTTTGATTGGAAGCTGCCAAATAACAAGTTACCTTCTGAGTTGGACATGACAGAGGAATTCGGCCTCGTAGTCACTAGGGCAGAGCATTTGATGGCTGTTCCCACTTATCGTTTGCAAAAATAATCAACTGGAAAAGGGATCCCTGGAATTTAGTCGTTATTTTAAGAATCTCCGTCTTTAGAACCCCCAGTAAAACTGAAAACCTTGCATGCAGCCTTAAGGTTGCATCTGATACCAATAAAATCATCCTTAAACCATGACCAATATGTGCAATTTCTTTGTATATTTGAAATTGAAAAGTTGTTAATTCGTGCAAAGATGATATTGTATTTCAAAACGACAATGAGTGCAGAGGTTGTCGAAACTTTTATTTGGAACACGCTCAGAGTAGTTGCAGTATTTTCATTTCTTCATGGATCAACGAAGAAGAAGAAATTGTCCCCAGATCCAAAAGGTCTCCCGGTTTTAGCATATCTTTACATAGGATAAGCCCAAAAACATGGTCCTATAATGTACATGCAATTTGGGTTGGTCGCAACGTAACGGAGGAAATAGTAGCAAATACCCAAATGACCCGTCCAATTTTGCAAAATAGCCGTTGACCACGTAAGAAAAAAAAAAGGAAAAAATAAAAAACAAGGAAAAACGATTATTTCCCTAAATTACCCTTGTCATTTGAAGAGTGAGGGAGAAGAGAGAACGAAGAAAAAATCCGGACGAGGCCCCACTATTTCTTCACTGACGACCCGGACGTCGAGAAATCACCATTTTCAGTTGAAGAA